AAGTGCTATGATTACAGGCGTGTGCAATCATGCCTGGTAATTTTTAGCTTTTCTAAGCCTCAGTTTTCTCATCTGTAAAATGATGACACCAGCTTCCTAAAAAGTGCATCCTCGCCTGGCAAAAAGATGGCTGTACAAGAATGTTTATCATAGCAGATTCATTAAAGCAAAAATCTGTAAACATCCCACAAGTCCAACAGTTTGTTTAAACAAATAAGTATACACGTGCACACCATGGAATATTATTTGTTAAGAATAATATGGATATTTATAGACAGAAAAGGCATTTGTGACATATTTCTGGGTGGAAGTTGTTGCAATTCAATAGGTATGATACATTTCAGTTTTGTAAAAATCACATTTACATGTATAGTCGTGTATTTAACAATATTTATTTTGTAGTTTTATTATGTGCATTTCCACATAGGCAAGGTGATATAAAATGTTTAAGGTTATACACCCAAACCTAATGTCACTATATACATTAGGTTTTGCTCAGTTTTGCTTAGTTGATTTTCAAATTCTTTCACAAGAACTTGTGCTGTAAACGTGTAAAAACATTTACAACACAGGAACAGGCACACTGGTGTCTGGGTCCAGGGGGCATTTAGTTGATGTCAAGTTCACGGGTAGGTTGTTTGGAGAACCAGGATCCCACATAAAGGACCAGAGAGTTTTGAGGGCTCAGGAGACACCAATAATCCCCACAACCACCCATGTGAGCTTCCTGTTGGCTTCTCTCCCTGAGCAGGCACAACCAGGTACCTGCTCCTAGGGCCCTTTCTAGCTTTTACCAGCCCACCATCTCTGGGTTCCTATTTGCTCCTCAGGCAGGCTACATTCCAGTCATTAGTCAACGGTTCTGCCGGGTCCCTGAGATGACACTGGACATTTTGGGGTGTGTGGGGGGGAGGGGCGCTAGGGTTGAACCCAAGGCCTTCAAACTGAGCTGCCTCTCCAGCCCTGTTTTATTTGTTTTGGTAACAGGGATCGAACACTGGTCCTTGTGCTTGAAAGGCAGGCAGTGGAACCACTGAGCTAAATCCTCAGCCCTCCAGCCCTGTTTCAATTTTGAGACAAGATCTAAATTGCCCTTGATGGGCTCAAACTTTGCTCCTCCTGCCTCAGCCTTCCAGACTGCAGGGATCACAGGGGTAAGCCACCATACCCTACCCAAGTTCTACAATCCAGCCTTCCTGAAGGAATGCTGCCTCCACAGCTTGCTTAGTGTTTCTGGCCTGGTGAGTCACTCTGGTTTCTACCCATAATCCCATTTCCAGGTGGCCACTTCATTATTATAGTAATAGTGAAGAGAAGCAACCATGTGTTGGTGCTCATGCACCAAACACCATGCTAGGCACGGCTCATCCAAGCCCCAGAAGAGTTCTAACTTTTTGTTTTGTTTTTTGGTACTGGGGATCAAACTCAGGTCCTAGCGCTTGTGAGGCAGGCAGCAGAACCACTGAGCTAAATCCCCGGCCCCCAGAACAGTTCTGTGAAGCAGGTCTTCTCATCCTCTTTAAGAAGCTAAGGAAATGTGGATTCGGAGAGGTCTACTTTCCCAGGGACAGCAGCAAGACACCCTAGGCACATACACTACCTTCTCTGCAGCCCCCCGGGTCTTTTGGCCTCATTTTATCCACACGAGGTGACTGAGTCTAAATTATTCACTGAGATGGACTCCTTCGCCCATACTCCAAAGGTCAGGTGGTAGGAGGGGCTAAATGTGAACATTTCTGACAGCACTTGATCTCTTGACACTTTCAGGAACCTGTAAAATGACCTTGACCAGGGGCTTTTACAGGCTGTTCTGTGCTACTTATGTAGGCATAGCCTCCTCCAGGAAGCCTTCCCTGAACACCCTAGTCCAAGCAGATATTATGGTTATCTGTCTTTTTGCTCCTTGCCCCGCCAGCTCCACAGTCCAAGCAAGTGTCAGGTGCTGGGCCTTAGGTCCTTGGCACCCACTCAAGTAGTGAGCACAGAAAAGTGCTCACTAAAAGACAAGAATGAATTCTTGTCTCTAGGAGCTGTGGTTGGCTTTGTTTGGAGGGTACATTAGGACCCGCAGGTAGTGACAGAAATGTGGCTTCCTGTGCGCCCTATTAAGAGGGTATGCTGGGCCAAGGCTCTGGGCCATGGGGCTCAGTGGGCTGCTGCCACAATCATGGTGTCCCTCTTGCCGAACCAAACTCCCGCTTGCTTTTTCACTCCTAGTCAGAAATTAATCATGTCTGAGTGACTGGAGTCATTGCTCACTGCACTGCACTGCACCGCACCGGGAGCCGGTGCAGGGTGGGGCGAGGGGCAGTGGCCTTAGGCTGAAGTCTCAAAGGCCCAGGCCTCCGGGCTGGGGGAGGGGTGAGGAGTGGCAGGTCCTGTCCCGGGGACGCCGCAGTCACAGGGGGAGAGACAATGGGGCTCCGCATCTGCTCCTCTCAGGGAGAGGGACCCTCCAGTGAGAAGCCTGGGCGAGCAGGGAAGTGTGGGAGGAATTGATGAGGAGAGGGGCGGAGCCAAGGAGATGCAGCCGGAGGAAGGAAGGGAAGGGGAAGGAAGAGAGGAGGGAGGGGAGAGGATCAGGCTTTCCTCCTCCTCCTCCTCCTCAGTGACCTGATCTTGCGCCGGGCCTGGCTCACATTGTTCCCAGCGTAAACTCATGGGGGAGGGGGGGTCACCTGGACCTCGCGTTCTGCCCCCACCCCCACCCTGCAGCCTCAGCTCCGGCCCAGGCATCCAGCAGGTGCTCAATCCTTACTTGGGAAAATGAGAAATGTGACCAACTTTGCTCTAGGAACTTTTCCCCTGGCTTCTCCCCACTCCGGAGAAGCTGAGCACGGAGCAGGTCTTGGGAGCACGCCCGGGAGCCCCAGGAATAATTGACTCTTCGTGGCGCCTCTGGACCTGCCTAGCGTCCGAGTCCACAGCGCCTGGCGTCCAGGGGGGCGGAGGCCGGCTGTCCGGCCTACTCCGAGCGGGGGTG